CCCCCCCCCCGCCCCGCGGAGCTGCTAGGTGGGAAGTCCTGAGCTAGAGCAAGATTTCCAGGGGGAGGGGGCTCAAGGCCTCCTTTCCAGCTTCCTGCCCCGGCTTCTTCTCTAGTCCTCGAATATATTGAGCATGTAGCGAAGTTTGAAAAGTGGGGTTGTGGCTGAAAAGTACTTTAAAAAAAATGGCTTATTTCATCCCCCTCGTTTACTCAAAAGAAACTGAGTTCCAGGGAAGGGTAGTGACTCAGCCAGTGTCACACAGCAAGTTAGAGGCAAAACCAGGAAGAGAGGCCGGATCCTCTGTGGCCTTTTTGCCCCCACCTGGCTCCAGACCCCCACGTTTTATGTACCTTGGGACCCTTTCCCAGCCCGTCTCCCGTATGCCCCCAGCAGACTGCCCACTCCCTCAGCTCTCCACAGAAACTATCAAGGAGTTCCTAAGGGGCCCATTCCCCTGGGCCCATGCCCCATATTAAAGCTCCTCCCCCCCACAGCTGTGGCTGTGGCTGCGGTGCCCATGGTGCTCAGCACTGTTGGCTTCACCGGGGCCGGAATCGCGGCCTCCTCCCTTGCTGCCAAGATGATGTCCACAGCAGCCATCGCCAACGGGGGCGGAGTTGCAGCGGGCAGCCTGGTGGCTACTCTACAGTCAGTGGGTAAGTGTCCCAGCCAGGCTCCTGTGGCGACCGGGAGGGGGGAACACGGGGGAGGACCCGAGCCTCAGAGGATGCAGCCTAGAGCTGAGGCCTGGGACGGGGCCCCTGTCCTCCATCTAGCCCCCAACATCCTCAGCACCCCCGGGCCTTCGTCTCCCGCCCTGTCCTCTCTCTAAGTTTCTCTGAAGGAAGAAGAGAAAGGGCCGTGCTCCGGGGGGCCCTCTGGGTTCAAGCAACTCTGATCGAAGCAGATTTGCTGGGTTATTTGGGGCATCTCCTCCCCATGTGGGGTTCAGTCCTGTTGCACAGAGCACGGGGCAGCTGTTAGCTCTTGGTTTTGCTACCTGACTCAGGCCTCTGTGCGGCTGCCTGTAGCCTCTCCCCCAAGCAGAGATCTGGGAGTGTCAGCACACAGGAGGGCCCTGGGTGGAGTGTCTGGACCTCAGGCCCTCCAGAGGGGACCTGGGGTCTCTGAGTCTGCAGATCTGTCCTCAGAGGTGCCTGGCCAGCCCATCCCCCAGACCACCCTCTCCCCTCCTGCAGGAGCAGCCGGACTCTCTCTGGCATCCAAGGCCATTCTGGTCTCCACTGGGTTTACTTTTTGGGACTTGGATAGCGCCCTAGGCCAGGCTCCTGCCTTCCCACCACATCCTCAGAGAAGAGGACCTGGGGGGCCTGGCCCAGCCAGTCTGGATGACTGTGTACCTAATGTGGCAACCGCACCACCGAGAAGTAAATAAGGAATAAAGATACATGTTGTCAGGTCTTGCGGAGTCTTCCCTCTCTCTGGCGGGAGGGGCAGGCTAGAAAACAAGGGGCCCGATGATACTGGCCCCCCAAGGCCAAAGTCCACTGCCCAGCCCTGGCCTTTTCTTCCCAGTAGCCATCAGGAAATTTTAAATTTTCAGGAGCTCTGACTTTTCTGCTTGAGGGCCCTGATCTCCAGATGTCCCCCTTGTCCCCCCTCCCCCGCCAGAACAAGGCCTTACAGAAATTTTTCATTCAAAGTTGGGTTCCACCCCAAAGCACCAGAAAAGCTGCGTATACGTTATCAATTCCTTCCCGTAAACCCTCTGAGTGTTTTCTCCAGGCCAGGCACTGGACTGGGTGCTAGGAACATAGGGGAGATGCTTGCCTTTGCTAGGCGCCACCGAAAGGTAGACAGCCAGTGACGCTGTGACTGAGAAGTGCTACACCCGGGCCGGGCCGGGGCACTGTGGGCTCCAGAGGAAGGCATGTAGCGGCAGGTTGGGGAAGGGGTAGCGTTCAGGATTGAACTCTGTCCCCCAAAAAGACATGTTGAAGTCCTGACCTGCAGTACCTGAGAACGTGACCTTGTCTGGAAATAGGCTATCAGTTAAGTATGGAGTCCCTGGGTGGTGTGAATGGTTAAAACGCTCGATTACTAACTGAAATTTGACAGTTCGAGCCCACCCAGAGGCTCCTCAGGAGACCTGGCGATCTGTTTCCAAAAAGTCACTGCCTTGAAAACCCCATGCAGTGCAGTTCGACTCTGCACACACCGGGTCTCCGTGAGTTGACAACTGGTTTGGTTTTTGGTTTTATCAGTTAACATGAGGTCACGCTGGAGTAGGGTGGGACCTAATCCAATATAAGCGGTGTCCTTATAAAAGCGGAGAAGAGACCGACAGACAGAGGGAAGATCGTCACGGACGACAGAGTTATGCTGCAGCTACAAGCCGAGGAACACCTGGGGCTCCCAGAAGCCGGGAGAGATGATGAGGGATCTTCACCAAGAGCTACTGGAGAGAGCATGGCCCTCCTGCCCTCCTCAGTTTGGACTCCTAGCTTTCAGAACTGTGAGACAATACATTTCTGTTGTTATAATCCACCCAGTTTGTGGTGCTTTATCATGGCACTAATATAGGGAGCTTGGACTTATCCCAAGGGTTTTGGAGAGACCTTGGAAGGTTTTCAACCAGGCCGTGACCCAGTCGTGGCCCAAGCACTCTCCGCACACCTGCCCTAGGCTCTGTCAGCAGTCCGGTAGGTTCTTGGCTTCCAGTGAGAACTGAGCTGGTGATCCCAGTGCTCCGGACGATTCAAAAAGTTCAAAAACTTCCAGGTCCCCAAGTGGCTCCAGCTGGGTCAGTGAAGCCTGGCTCTTACGCAGCGTAAGAACAAACCCCTTATGTATTAATTCTTGACATACCTGCTTCTTTTTCTTTTACCCCTTTCTTCATGCTTTGGAGAGTCTGATAAAAGCTGTGGACACTCTCCCCCTAAAACGCACCCCTTCATAAAATACTGGCTTCAGTTGCAGGGTGCTCATTAGTGCCTCTGAAGGCATCCTGGGAGATGAAGGCAGAAGCCACTCCACAAGGCAGGGCTCTTGGGTCTGAGTGGCTCTGGAAGAATGGCCAGCCCTTCCTCCCCTGCTGAGGCCCAGGCCTAGCCCAACAAGGCAGGCCCCTCCAGAGTAGCCATTCTTCCAGGCTCACTGTGTGTCTTGGGCACCCTGGCCTGCCCCCACTGCCCACTCATGAAGGTGAGACTTCGTGGTTCCTGGAGGGCTGCCTGCATTCAGACACTGAGTCACTGGTCCCCACCTTTGGGCTCCATGGCTCTGCTCTGGGTCTTCACCACTGGCCCCTCAGGTGCTGCCTTTGCAGTAGCAATAGGCAGAGTTGTTACAATGGTCCCCAGTGGCCCCCACCTTATGTAGCCCCCTCCCCTGTGAATGGCGGTGGAGCCGGTGAATAATGAGCTCAGTTTTCCAGACACAGCAGTCACCATTCCTGAGAGGCCCAAGAGTGGAAGATCCTACTGTAACATCATACCATCCTGCTTTGATGCTTTGTCTGTTAGCCTTAGGACAGGACTCTGAGGTCAGACGGAAAGGACTGTGGGGACGGGGGAAAAGGGTATGGGGCATATCTAGTGCCAGTTAATGAGGAAGGACAAAGGGCTTTGGGACCACGTGTCCCGGCCTCTCCACATCCCTGCCTCCCAAATATAACATCTGTCACTCTCATCAGTGAATGAAGGCTAAAGGGTAAAGTGGGGCTCACAGAAGGACCAAGGATGACCCTGGGTCATACAGCCCATCCCTGGTAAGGCTGGGACCAAGGGCAGTCTGATTTGGGCCTTGATTACCCCACCACCTGGCTCTGCCCTCTGTGACAAGGCAGGGTGGAGATCCAGAGAACTTGGAGCCCCCAGCTCACAGCTCTACCCACAACCACAAGAAGGAGGGACAGGGCGGGCATCTGGACAGGAGTTTTATTTCTCATATTTCTCTGACGCGTGTGGGGGTTTTGGAGGTTCAACTTGGGGTATTTTCTCCTTGACAGGTCCCCTTCCTCAGCCAGGTCCTATTATTCATCCTGGTCCCCGTCTTCATCCGAGTCCCCTTCTTCAGTCTTGGGTTCATCTGGTGGAGGGGGAGGGGGTTTCTTTTTTGAACCCCCCAGCCAGGCCCCAAGAGCTGAGCCCACAGAGCCCAGCAGAATGTTGGAAGACATGGAGAGTCCAGCTGCCCCTGGGGAAGAAGACAGAGGCTGAACAAAGGGGATATGCAGTGGCCAGGGGCCCGGTCCCCTCAGAAGGCCCAGAGACCCCACCCTGCTCCCTCCTGCACATCCTGAACCCCTGCAGTCTCTGCTTTGAGGAGAGGATGCTGGAAGCGGCTGAAACAGAGAAGACATGGAGCGAATTCATGGAAAGTGAGAAACAGACCTGAGAGCTACAGGCCCCTCAGCGTACAAAGGGGTCACTGAGATCCAGAGCAGAGGGGATCGGCCCAGGTCAGCAGCAAGTCTGGGTGGGGCTGGACCCAGAGCCCAGACATCATGCACCCAGGCCAGGGCTCCTTCCCTCCCTCTCCTTACCCAGCACCCCCCCCCCCACTCACCTCAAACCTCAGTCAGAAGGAGACAGAGAGAGGACAGTGAGGGAGGGACAAAGGACCAGGGATGCTGAGGATCCCCGGAATGATCCCCCACCCCGCGGCATCAGCTTCTGGGCCGGATCCTCTGAGGCTCGGGTCCTCCCCCGTGTTCCCCCCTCCCGGTCGCCACAGGAGCCTGGCTGGGACACTTACCCACTGACTGTAGAGTAGCCACCAGGCTGCCCGCTGCAACTCCGCCCCCATTGGCGATGGCTGCTGTGGACATCATCTTGGCAGCAAGGGAGGAGGCCGCGATTCCGGCCCCGGTGAAGCCAACAGTGCTGAGCACCACGGGCACCGCAGCCACAGCCACAGCTGTGGCGGGGAGGAGCTTTAATATGGGGCATGGGCCCAGGGGAATGGGCCCCTTAGGAACTCCTTGATAGTTTCTGTGGAGAGCTGAGGGAGTGGGCAGTCTGCTGGGGGCATACGGGAGACGGGCTGGGAAAGGGTCCCAAGGTACATAAAACATGGGGGTCTGGAGCCAGGTGGGGGCAAAAAGGCCACAGAGGATCCGGCCTCTCTTCCTGGTTTTGCCTCTAACTTGCTGTGTGACACTGGCTGAGTCACTACCCTTCCCTGGAACTCAGTTTCTTTTGAGTAAACGAGGGGGATGAAATAAGCCATTTTTTTTAAAGTACTTTTCAGCCACAACCCCACTTTTCAAACTTCGCTACATGCTCAATATATTCGAGGACTAGAGAAGAAGCCGGGGCAGGAAGCTGGAAAGGAGGCCTTGAGCCCCCTCCCCCTGGAAATCTTGCTCTAGCTCAGGACTTCCCACCTAGCAGCTCCGCGGGGCGGGGGGGGGGGGGGGGGGGGGGGGGGGAGCGAGAGGAGAAGGGGTGCCAGCCTCTTAACCCCTGCAGCACTGTGTCCCTATGGTCTCACATCCACCCAGCCTGGTGGGGCAGAGGCCAGCAAAGGATAGAGAGCGTCCAAGTGACTCACTTCCTCCGATTGCAGCACAGGCCACCCGTTCTTTGGGGAGAAAGAGAGAGAGTTAGTTGCGAAGTGAGGGAAAGAAGCGACTCCTCTGGCTCTTGGCCCTTCGTGGGGTGTATAGGGACGCTGCCCAGCCGGCCAGCCCTGGGGAGAAAGCGACTCACTCATCATCGTGCCTCCGCGCCAGGTCCAAATCAGCTCACTGAATGCCTGACGAGGGAAGGCAGGCTGTCCAGTCCCTGTGCCGGCCGGCCAATGGGGACACGGCCCGCCCCTCGCAGCTCAGTGGCCCTAGGGAGAGGCCAGAAGGCGCGGCCCACCTGGGCGCGACCCACGTCGTGCGCATGTCCGCACCTGCGCGCCCGCCCCACCCCGCGAGCTTGTCCCCAGTCGCGCTACCGCCTGGTCACCCCTACCAACCTGTTCCCACCCGGGCTCCAGCTCACCGGCCTACTGGTGGTTTCCTTGGGTGAGTTTCTTCTTGCTTGATCCACCTTCCAAAGAGCTCCAAAGCGCAGGAGGCCCGCAGAAGTGGCTGTGGTTCCAAGTCGTTCAAACTTTTTCTTACTGACAGAAGTAAGAGCTATTGATCCCCTATCCTCCCCGCTCTCTGCCGCTCACTCCCCGCCTCCCCGCAAAAAGGGAAAAGCACAGAGGAACGCAAGAGTCTCCATAGGGAGCCAGTGTCACATTTTGGCACATTTTCTTCCATTCCATCTGTCACTCTCTGAATATGTAAACCCTTCTGCAAGTTCGAATCACACTGTGCCCACTGCTTTGTAAAATGCTTGCTTGCTTTAATCGGTCATTTAAGTTTTCCCAGAGAGTTTAATCTTCTTCAACAGGATTTTTTAAAGTCAACTTTATTGAGGCATCATGTATACACAGTAAAATCCGCCCTTTTACTGTACATTTCTCTTGAGTTTGAACAAACAAAAAGTGTAACCACAGGCTGAGTAGAGAGCACGTTCATCACCCGGAAAATTCAGTCCCGCCCTTTGTAGTCAGCCCCTCCTCCACCCGCAGCCCCTGACAACCACTGATTTCTGTCCCTACACATGTGTTTGCCTTTTCCAAACGTTTACAGGATTTCTCGTTGTCACCAAATATCTGTTTGGTGAGAGTGCTCTAGGTCGATGTAGCAGCCCTTTTTTGAGTTTTTAAATGCTTTCTAATTTTCCCTCATTAGTAATCTTGGCATGAATTGAACTTGCATTGTGGTGTACAAACTAGGTATTTTCTGACAATGTATTCCTAGCAGTTAAGTTGCTGGGTCAGAAACTATGCATTTTTTTAATGGCTCCTGATACTTCTTGCTAGGTTGCCCTTGACAACTATTGAGTCAGCTAATACTCCCCCTGAAAGTAGGAAGGAAGATCTTTCCCTCCCTTTTTCCCTCCCTCTGTTCCTTCCTTTTCTTCTTTTCTTGCTTGCTTCCTTCCTTCCCTCCCTCCCTCTCTTCCTTCCTTCCTTTCTTTTTCTCGGATTTCCCTACTTTCTGGCACTGTAAGATGCTCTGGGCTCATCTTGTATATTTACTGCCCAAGTTCTAGAACCAGCTATTTCTCCAAGAAGCCCTGGTTCCTTTCTTTGCAAAATGGTGTTAGAAACCGGGATCTGAGCACTAGGTGTGCTCACTGATACTGGGGTGTCATTACCTGTAGACTCTGTCAAGTGATTAACCAAAGAAACCAAACCCGTTGCCGTCGAGTTGATTCCAACTCATAGCAACCCTATAGGACAGAGTAGAACTGCCCCATAGAGTTTCCAAGGAGCGCCTGGTGGATTTGCACTAGTGGTTAACCATGACACCACCAGGGTTTCAGTGTATACATATCTATAAATATTTTTGTATGTGATCACCTGTATCTGTATTAAGCTAAACATAAGTTCATACTGACGTCTCCAACTCTAATCCATTACTACACGGATCATTGTAGCCTCCTTCTCTTGCTTGTCTCTAAAATCCTGCTCTAACAGTGAGAAACCTGGCTACTTCCATCTGTCATCCATTGACTTAAATGTTAATTCTGGTATACATGTATAGCAATACCAGAATTGTTAATCCAGGACTACACATTTTTTGTGAAGTTTAAAAATACTTTGTAGTGCCCTCCACTCTCCTGAGATGAAATTATAGATAGTATCATAGAGTTATACACAGTATACTGCCTTAAGTGTAACACAAAGGAAAAATAAAAGGAAATAGTTTACAATAAAAGAGTGTATATTTAAAG